TGCATGGGGTTGTTCCTCCCCAGGTGCAGGACCCTGCATTTGCCTTTGTTGAACCTCATCAGGTTCCTCTCTGCCCAACTTTCCAACCTGTCCAGGTCACGCTGAATGGCAGCACAGCCTTCTGGTGTATCTACCACACCTCCCAGTTTCATGTCATCAGCAAACTCTTCATCCAGGTCGTTGATGAAGAAGTTAAACAAGGTTGGGCCCAGTACTGACCCCTGGGGGACACCACTAGTTACCAGCCTCCAACTAGACTCGGCGCCGCTGACGACAACCCTCTGAGTTCTGCCATTCAGCCAGTTCTCAATCCACTTCACCGACCACTCATCCAGCCCATACTTCCTGAGCTTCCCTAGGAGGATATTATGGGAGACTGTGTCGAAAGCTTTGCTGAAGTCGAGGTAGACACATCCACGGCTCTCCCTTCATCTACCCAGCTAGTCATGTCATTGTAGAAAGCTATCAGGTTGGTCAGGCATGATTTCCCCTTGGTGAATCCATGCTGACTACTCCTGATAACCTTCTTTTCCTCCACATGCTTGTTGATGACCTCAAATACCATCCTGGGCCTTGAAAAGCAAGACCTTTGGTGACATGGCACTCCCGAAAGAATTGAGTCGAACAACGGGACTCACTTTCATAACAGTCTCATAGACACCTGGACCAAAGAACATGGTATTGAGTGGGTGTATCACATGCCCTACCATGCACCAACCTCTGGAAAAACTGAACAGTACAATGGACTGCTAAAAACCACTCTGAGTGCAAGGGGGAGTGGGACTTTCAAAAACTGGGATACTCATTTAGCAAAGGCCACCTGGCTGGTTAAGACCAGAGGATCCACCAACCGGGCTGGCCCTGCCCAATCAAAACTTCTACGTCCTGTAGAAGGGGATCAAGTCCCTTTGTGCACATGAGGAATATGTTAGGGAAGACAGTCTGGATTAGTCCCGCCTCAGGCAAACGTAAACCTGTCTGTGGGATTGCTTTTGCTCAGGGACCTGGGTGCACATGGTGGCTGGTGTGAAAGAATGGGGAAGTCCGAAGTGTACCTCATGGGGATTTGATTTTGGACGAGAAGAGTCAATAAATGAAATTTTATGACGTTAACTGCTAAAAGATCCTGTCAGTGTCAGTTATCACTACTATAGTTGTTATATGTTATATCAAGGATATTACAGTCAGAATCACCCAAACTAATGAAGGATGGACTTTGATGAAACCTAGCAAAGCACAGTGGTGATCGGGCTGGACCTGGCTTCAACAACTGGCACCCAGCAACTTCATCAAGATCGACATGTTCAACCTGCAGACAGTGGGCACGGGCAGCACCAGATACATCGGCCGCAAGCTCCGGATGCAGCAAGCGACCGCCCATCACCACACATCACCTCTCCTGCCATGGAAGACTGTTATGACAGACAGAGCCCAATGTGGTGAATTGAATGAACTCAATGGATATTTTAGAGGGATGATCCATAGACTAAGGGAATGATATCTGTTTGTGTGTATTAAAGACAGGAAAAGTGGTGGTGATTAACTGGAAAATGGGTCACCAGGGCATGAAGTAGATGGTATAGAATAAGGGGCGGATAATGTCCTGGGTTCAGCCAGGACAGAAATGATTTTCACAAGAAGCCAGGAGGGGACACAGCCAGGCAGGCTGACCCAAACTGGCCAAACAAAACAGAGTATTGGAGGCCATGTGCCGTCATGCTGGGTTCTGGGGGCAGGAGGGGGAAGGGAAGTTGGTCGCGGCTCCAGGGCGCACAGAGCACCAGACGGTGAGAGCTACTCTGTCCATTTCACTGTTTTGTTTTGTATATTCTCCTTATCAATGTTATTGTTGTTACTGTTTTCTTCATTTGCTGTTCTGTTAAATTGCTCTTCTCCCGACCCATGAGTTTTTGCCATTTTCTTTCCATTCTCCTCCCCACCCCTGTGGGGGAGGGGCGATAGAGCGACCACGTGGCCCTTTTTTTGCTAGCCACAGGCCAAACTATAACAGTAGTACGTGTGTTGCAGACATGGGGAAGTTTGGGAAGTATGTGTTGCTTCAGACAATGAACATATAATTAGAGTATCAGAAGGTATGTACATAAGAAAGATAAGATGTAGTTGCATAGGAGATCTTTATTCCTGATATTGTTCCCTAAATTTGTGGAGATTAGCCTGCAAAAATGTTCAGTCACTGCAGTGTCTACTGTGATTATTCATATGTGTACTTTCTGTGTTATATAGTTATACATCATGGAGCTATAAGAAAAAGACCTAGAAGAGAAGTAGTCTGACCTCCTGCCTCAAGGCCATGTCAGCTTGAACCTGTAGCAAACTTGGTGGATATTTGTTTTACCTGTTATAAAATGCTCAAAGAGATGGAGACTCTTCAGTTTTCTTAAGCATTTTATTTAAAAGATTGTCTATCCTTACCAGTAAAAACCATTTTCCATTTCCTGAACTGCAGCTTTGCTGCTGCAGCTACTTCATGTCCTATCCACAATGGAAATGCAGAACACGTTATTTCTTTCCCCTTGTAACAACAATGTACATATTTATAGACTTTACCACGTTTACTCTCTTATCAAAGAATTGCAATTCTATCATTTTATCCATGTAGGTCACTTTTTAAAGAATCTTTTTCTTTCCTTTTTTTCTCTCAAGTTGTTCTAAGTCCTTCTTGAAGTGCAACACTTCATACTGGAATCCATACCTCAGCAGAGGCCTACTAATGACATGTAAAAAAAGGAATATTCCACACACTCTATCACTTTGCCTGCAAACATTCATGGTGCAATTTCAGCAAAATCACCAGAAAAATGAAATTGCCTCTATCCTTTTCTTCCTAATGTAAAACGATGTTCAATGAAATGCTAGATGTGCTCACAAAGACCTTTTACTTAGTCTGAATTCTCTTTTTCTCTGACTAACAAGTTAAAAACCCACTTTCCTGGTATTAAAACTACCATCAAGGAAATCAGAACAAAATAAACTTTATAAAACACAGATCAATAATTAAACTAAAGGAAAACCTAAAGAGTTGTTAAAATATTATTAATATGCTTATTTTTCCTACAGAAAACCTTAATCTTTCAACAAAAACATGAACTCTTTGGCCTAAGTTGATTAAATAATAAATAAATAAATATTGAACTAAAGCAAATAGTATTACGCATGGGTAAAACTGATCTTCAGATTTTGACCAGTATAGAACAATTGGGATTTCCCTGCGTTAATATATTTGGAATATGACATTCATTAGTGTATTTGCCTTTTAATATTGGTGATGTCCCCCTGAATTAGCACAGTCATTACAGGCTCAGCATTTGTCACACTAGTGTAAAAGCCATCCTGATGCCTTCCCTTTGGAAAGTCAGCCTGAAAGAAGTTGTCTGCAAGGGTGGAATGCAGGATTTTGTCTTCTCCTTCAAAACATCTTTAATGCTTTGAGTTTGAAGAAGAGCAAAAGCAAAGTGACAAAATATCTCCATGAAAGTTTGTCAAGGTAGGGGTTAAAAAAGTGGAATCTTTGTGACTGTGAAGGGCTGAATTATCTTTCCGACACCAGCAGGGGTTGCTGTCACTAGTTTGTGGTTGTCACATTCCTATTATGCTTGACCTTGGAAAGGCTTGACAACAAAGTCTGGATTTGATTAAGGGAATTTCATGTTTTTCCTTTGCTAGAGTCACCCCCCACCTCGACAAACATTTAAAAATGTTAAGAAGAAAAAAAGTTTGGAAAGCAAACATTTTCCCAAAAGAAATTTATAGTTCAAATTTACACCAAGTTCGCACTAACTGGGGCAGTCCGGGTTTCCACTCAGGCTTTGAGTGCTCTCTGTAAAGCATTAGTCACTTCCCTGGAAGAGGCAGCTTTTTACAGGCAGCAGGATAAAACAGGTACAGATGTGTGTGTAATATTAGAGGCTTTCACATGTACCTGCATTTTTTTTTTCCTCAATCGCAGAAAAGAAAAAAGAATGACTATAGAAAGAAATTAATTGAAGCCTTGTACTTTGTTTGGTTTTGTACAGCTGCCATGAAGATTTGTTTAATTAAAAGAAAATGTTGTGCAGTGGATTTTTGTAATTGTGGCAATTTACATCATGAAGTTAGAAGTTCTTTTAATTTTTAACAAGTTGCGTTTTTTCACTCTACAGGACTGTGATTATGCCAGCTGCCAGTGAGTTTGATCCAGAGATTGTCCTGGTGTCAGCAGGATTCGATGCCGTGGAAGGCCATGACCCTCCCCTGGGCGGGTACAAAGTCACAGCTAAATGTAGGTATCATAAGGCATATGTTTCTGCATTGCTTTTTTTCTACTTAGGAACCTTATTCTAAGTCCACTTACGTCCATATCTCTAAATGTGAGATGGCACCCATGTCACTGTGGGCAGAAACTGTCAGTTAATACCCAGAGATGCCTGTGGAGCTAAGGGTCTTGCCCAGCTTGCAGACAGGGTGGAAATGAACGTTAGCATTTCTGTCTCATTCCTTTCTGTTCATCTTGGCATTTTTGTCTTGGCTTCTTAAAGTATTACTTTTCTGGCGTTCAAATAACATTTTAGAGTTTTCATTCTTTTCAATAGGCCCTGTTTTCCAAATGCTTGGTAAGTTATTTCTCTTTAAATATATAGTGGAGATTTTAGACTTTGGAGGCCTAAGTCCAGTCTCACATTGCTCTTTTGTTATTGTAATCTTTTCAGCTTGATGGCATTAATCCTGAATTACATCAGTGTTCATGAAGGCCAAAGTTTTCTTAAAGACTACTCTGTTGGGTCTCAATGTTTGGATGTCCATTTCAGTCCTCCAAAATGTGTGCTCATGGCAGAGATCTAATAGTTTCTGAAAGACAGGTTTGTCTGAGGTGGCGCATATATAGCCCTCCAATGTCACGAGCTACAGAGGATATCGAGAACAAACTGATTCTGGGCCTGGGATGTTAAGCAAGGCTAGGTAAAGTAGTAATGCTCTGTACAGTAATGTGCACTGTAACATCTCTGTGTATAAATCACTTTCCATGAGACCACACAAAATATTTTCCTAATGCAATGCTGTGAATAATTTTCTTCAGTATGTATACTTTGCTTCAGTATATTTCAAGAAATACTGTAGTAACACTAAGTAGTTAGTAAATGTGAATCTCTGCTGCTAATGACAAATGTCTTGTGAAAAGTCTGGAGAAGTCAATGAAACCTGATGGCTCCCCTAAATACTGAGGATGAAAGGATAGATGGACAGCTAGGTGACTGTCCATAGTGGCATGCTGTGGAAAGTGAGAATGCAGAGGGCAGCGCAAGGGCCTACCCAACGACACTTACACAGGTGCTAATGGAAAGGGAACATCCCTGTGGCTGCAAGTAAGGCATATTGACTTTTAGCACAGCTTTTCAGGTTAATGCAGTGGTTGCAGTAGAGAGCAAAGAAACACAGCAGCCTGTATGCATCTTTGAGTAACACTTATCTGTGTATTATGATTTTTAGTAAAAATTTGTGCATGAAAAAGCCCTTTGTAAGAGCTTTTCTCACTATTTTTTTCCATAACTATGGTTCCTGGTCAGAGGTACCATTCCATGAGCTTATGTGACAGGGAGATGAGTTTCCAACTGGTATCAAAATAGACATTTTCGTGAGAAGCATTGTCCAATTATTTGTATTTAGCAGCTGAGAAAGCGTGCATTCATGAGGCTCCAATAAGATTCTTTGACATATGTGGTGTTCTGGCACAGGAGCTTCAACAACTTAACCAGAAATTCAAGAAGATTCATCTTCTCAGGTTGGAATGAATTTCACCCGGACAGCAAAGAAAAACTTCGATACCGGAATCAGTGTTAATTTTCATTCATGAAAATCTTAGTATATTTGAAATCTTAGTACACGTGAAAAGTTAGCACATTTTTTAATATGAGGCCACACATCTAAAAGTTGCACATGTACCTGTAAGAAAAAAAAGGTGTTGTACACTAGGTGGCTCTTGTTTAAATTAAGGGAAAAGCCAAGATAGACCCAGATAACGATCATGCACCTGAGGGATGAATAAAGCTTTTTGTACAGAGTCAAAGGAATTTATTATTTCCCCAAAACATAATTCTTCACATTCCACCATATCATTTTAGAACATGGCATACTATATGTGGTGTGTAGAAAAATGAACAGTCTTAAAAAGACATAAAGTCCAAAGAGAACTATTCATATTGAAGACTAAAAATAGATATTCATGCAAATTATTAGTATAATTGGTTTTCAATAATTAGAAATTATGCCCAAAACAAGTAAATGCAAAGTAATGTTTAACCTGTAAATATTCTTTAATAATTATTAACACTTTGTGTAGAGTCATAGAGTCATAGAATGGTAAGGGTTGGAAGGGACCTTAAAGATCATCTGGTTCCAACCCCCCTGCCATGAGCAGGGACACATAATACATTTAATTTTCTGATTTTTATGGCCCAATACAAACCTTACACATATAAATTAGGAAGAGATTTTCATCAAAGGAGAGAAGATGGGTCCTTAGCTACTAACCTTACTGTTAAAGAGAGTTAGGGAGACACTAGATTCTTGATAAGGAATTATTTATGTCTTTGCTGCAGAGTACAGTCAAAGAGAAAAAAGGGAAATGCGATAACCAATCAGCATTTCCAAGTCATAAAGTAAAAACCATAAGATGAAGATAACAGATGGGACTAATTACAGCCTTGGAGTAACCAGATACTGATAAAATTAGTCTGCTAAATCTACACAGTTTTTGAGGTGTAAATTATAACCTGCTTTGACCCAGTATTTTGGTTTTTTTGCTATATTGACATACAGTCTGATTTACTGAGGAATTGCCATTTCTGACTAGTAAATAAACACATCAGCAACAAAATAGTCATATACATTTTTGCAGTTGGTTTTAAGTGCGTGGGTCTGATGTGCACATCAGGATTTCTCACGGTGACATGACCCTCAGCTCCTCTAGAAGGATGTAGACCAACTCAGATCATTGATGATCCAATGCAAAGATATCTCGCTTGCCTAATTTATCTCAAGTCCCATTAAGGAACAAAATTACTGATGGTCTTTTTCCACTGCTTATTGCACTTTTCAAATCACTTTCCCTAAGTAAATCTTTTTTCTCCATCTGCCTTTGCAATTTGTTCTTGTCTGTTGATTTTTTGAGGAGAAAAGTTTTCATGAAACTAATGAATATTAAACTAAGTTTTACCTGGTCCCAAAACAGATTTTGTTTGGTGCAATGCAGAATTGAGAATGAGCATGAACTACAAAGTGTGTTTCAACCCCAACTTTGAGGATTTCACAGGCACATTTTTCTTTGTGTTGGCTCTTTTTATCCTTTGTTCCAATCCTCTCTTTCAATCAAGTGCCACCATTTCAAAGGTGACTGTATATACCTAGATACACTTCTTGAAACACACACTAAACCCATGTGCATAAACTTTGTGATGGATTTTGTATTCTGTTAAGAAAAAAAATGGGCTTCAATGACTTCAGAGGACTGGTGGCCTAAGGCAGAATTTTGTGCTGCCAGGATGCTCTCAGGCCTTTGGTAGCAGCCATATTCCTAATATCTTAGTAAGAAAAGGCAAGCTTTATTGACAACACTGTTTATAAGACTACCTAGCATAATTAGAAATACTAGATATACTTTTGAATGCACAGCCACTTTGTCCCGAAAACGGTCTTCCCAAAAAAAGGAGCTGTGTCTGAAAAGGAGTTTCTTTTTCAAATATACTTTTTTTTTTATATAGATATTATGTCCACTCACATACTCTGCCTTGCCTGTGTCATTGTGCTATGATAACTGCATGAAGTTTAGCATTGAAAAGCAAACCAAAGAAAATGAGGCACACAGCATGTTAAGCCTTTCTTGTAGTCCTATTGGCCCAAGGTCTTGCACCAGTTATACATGCCAACTCCTGCTCAGGAGCTACTTCTGGTAGCGTCTGGCTCAGATTTTCAGGGATATTCAAGCAACGTTTCTCAGATTTTACTTTCTATAGCCCCTCCCTTATGACTCAAGCTTACCTTCATTGCTGAAATATGAGAATATCTTTCATATTGTCAAGTCCTTCTTTAGTATTAGCATAGCTCTGTCCATGTTGCTTGGTTAAATTGGTTTCCTGAGCTGTATGGTGAAGGTGGGTGCAGCAGCGGGAGCTCGCTCATGCACAACTCTCTTGTGCAAAGTAACTATTGATGTCATTGGAATCCCTTTGTTTAGATCAGGGACAATAAAGGTGCTTAAATTTTACTGTAAACTATAATCAGATAAGAGGAAAACATGCCTCAGTTCCTGACTAGCCTAATATCTCCTTTTTATTACTAGAAATTACTTTATTTTTTCAATAAAGTACAAGAGGAAACAGCAGCACAATACATTACGTATTATGAAAAAATACTGTATCAAATACACTTTTTGTACTGCAGTAGTAAAAATGGTATTGACAAAAAAGTATAAGAAAAATAATGGGGAAGAAATAAATGGAATAAAGGAGTTTTATATTTACAATAGTAAGGAGATGTGCCTGAAGACTATGAATCTACTCTTCCGTCTTATACGGATGATGCTTAGGTGGAACTACTCAAGATAGAGCTGATACGTTCTGTGCTTTATTTTATAGCTAATTTTTACAGCCTCTGCTAAAATGTGTTGTATTAGCACACCATTTGAATTCTGTACAGTGAACAGGCCTGAAAAAGAACTGCCAGATCTGATCATAAATTTGCAACTTCTTGCAAAGATCTTGTAAGAGCACTGTTTTTAAATTTAGCTCTGCTGACTGATGTTCTCCCTGTAACATTATCCTGAGGTGAAGTACTTTCTCTTTGTTTTATAGAGCATTCCTTACAATAATGCTTGCATTAAAGCCACTGAGATCACTTTAGTGTTCAAGTAAATATTGTACATAATTGCTCACTAAATGATGACCATTCCATAAAAAGAATAAAGTAAATAGAGAAGCGTCAAGCAAGAATGATAATAAGGGTACTTATGTTCCTGAATCACTGTGGTTTTTAAGGGCTATGATGATTTACTGGAGTTTTCCTGTTGTTTTACTCTCTTATTCCAAAGATGCTATTTGACACCAGAGTGCAAAATAAGATCAGCAATTAGCAGTAGGAAAAGATACCACTGCAGGCATTTAAAGAGTAAACTATATTTTGTTAGTTTGGATACCTGTCTACAGTTATGCCAAATTTGTGACGCAAGGTTGATCCGGTGTCTGGAGTATAACTGACTGTAACTAAACTGATTTGCAACTCATAAAGTTT